TGTGTGTGTGTGTGTGTGTGTGTGTGTGTGTGTGTGTGTGTGTGTGTTGAGTGCCCTGGTGGGTTCCTATGTTAACTCGTGGGTTCTGGTGGGGCCGCCGAGGCTCGGGCTGTTCCTGCGGTTTCTTCATGGCCCTCCTGGTAAAACACCAAGAGGCCGCTGCTTGCGGGAAGGACTGACGCCGGCAGGGTGGACCAGGCGCGCCGGTCTCTTCTTGGCCCGTAGGGACGCCCTCTTCCCAGCGTCCCTGCGAGAAGCCTCCAGATTTGAAAATCAATTCAGCTTCGGGCGTAGTTGTTCGCTTCCCACAATCACGGTCCAATCCAGAATCGAACCTGGTCCTTGGGCCTGGTGGGGACGCGTGGGGAGGCCCCCAGTGTGGGACGTATACCCGGCCGCCACATGCCGCGGCTTTCTTTCATTTACAAAAGAAAGGGGAAAAAAAACCGTAACAAAAGGCAGAGCGTGTCTGCTTAGGTGCTTTCATCCCTCAGAGAAAGGACAGATGTGCCCATTGTCCAGCCCTTGGCAGTTATGACCCGGTCAGCGCCGATCCTCAGCCCCGGGCGAGTGGTGGTCACAATGGGGGACAGCTTCTCAGAACCTGGGTATATGGGTTCGGATATGGAACAAAGTGAGTGTGGCCAAACTCAGATTGTATGTTCCTTTCCTAGGGCACCGGGTCGGAGCCCACCACCGGTGTCTCTGCTGGGAATGTTCCCAGACTCTAGGAGAGGTCAGGGTGGTGGAATGGTAGTAGTAGTGGTGGCTGAGTCCCTTAGGCAAAAGCTTGGGCCAGTCTATCCTTGGGGGAAACTTCTCACCAGCTAAGGCATGAGCAGGCCAATCTCTGCCCAGGTCCCTACCACCGCCTGGGCAACATCAAGATCAAGGTAGGTCAAGGCCAGTGGGTTACTCTACCTGCCTTCCTTGAAAGTGGTCATGTCCTGAGATCGGTTAACCTGGTTGGTTTCATCACCACGGACATTCCTGTTTTGTCCAAACAATGCCTATGGAGGTCCTGGAGATGGGGGTCCATCTCAGTGGACTTAGCATCAGCTTGCACAATGAATATTTAGTAATTTAAAACCTCCAGAGAGTAGAAGGTCTTTGGGAAAAATACAGTGACAAAAAGGAACTCAGAAAACAAAATTACTCTATTTAAAGTTACTCTTGTATCTACATCTCTCTAGTCATAAGTACATATACGCAAACTTAAAACATATTTTCTGCCTAGTGGATCACAATATGTTGGTGGGAAGCTGAATTCTTGGCTCCTTATTGTTTCTGTTCTCATTTCTTACAACATAGAGCATGTAGCTCTTATATGAGACCAAACAATGGGTTAACGTAGAAGGCAGACTTTGAGCTAAACCGTTTGCCCCCCCCCATATTTTAATCCCCCTGAAGTGATCGATTTGCCCTTATGACAACTCTCTTTCCCAAAGGCAGTTTGTTAAAAGAAAGAAGTAAATACCACCAAATGCACAAATTGTTCATGGTTTTCTATTTGTGTAACTAATTAGGGACTTGATCCTGGAAACGCTCCTTCATGTGAGGCTCTCGACTGAGCCCCTGGAGTCTACCTGAAGAGGGCTGGGATCAGGTGAGCTTAACTCCCTCCGTCCCCCCAGCCCCACCCCCCCATGAAAAGGGGGTCTGGTTCAGTGCTGGTCCCTAAAGGAGTAGCCAAAGTAAAAATCTGGATAAGTATTGTATATGGTGGACTAACGTGAGTGCAGGACTTGCTTGGGGAGTTTGCAAATCTCCCTAATCTTTCTTGGCTGTTCATTCCTTTCATTTAACCTTTGTTTTCTTGTAGTTGACTGAATTGCAGTAATTTCTCAGAAACATTTTATTCTTATTCAATGTCTTGGAAAACTTTCCTATACTAAGAATGTATGATGGGTGGGATGGATGCTCTTAGGCCTAGTTAGGGTGAATGCACATGTATGCGTGTGTGTGTGTGTGTGTGTGTGTGTGTGTGTGTGTGTGTGTGTGTGGCGGGGTGGGGGGGAAGGACAGGAGGGCTAGGATAGCTTTTTGTCATTTTGTCCCTCTCTTCCCTTCCCTCTTCCACTGCCCAGCATAACATCAGGTGCACTATGGAGGATTAAAGAGGCCAGGGAGGGGTCTCTTGAAATAACTCAGTGGGTCTAGTGTATGTGATTACAGGATACTGTACAGTTCTTTATCACAGCCAAGAAGCCTGAGGGGAGGGCTCATTGTCAGCTGGTTAGATTTTGAGTAGCTGCAGGGAACTTAAAGAAAAAAATAATGTCAGTCACCACCCCATTTCATACATGTATATATTTAAGAAAAAGGGAAATAAGACTATGGGCTGGATGCTTGTGGCTGGCAATGTTTTCAATGTGGAAACAAATATTTTAGACTACTTATTTTGTAGATGTTGGGGTGCTGCTGGTGGTGGTGAGACAGGTGCAATCCTTCCTATGCTGGGTGGGCTAGAGCTTGCCAGGTGACCCCACTAGGCTTAGAAAAGAGAATGAGAATAAGGTCTTTCCTCCAAATGCTGGCCACACAAGGTTCTTTGAGAACCTTCCGTGAGTTTCAGAGTTACTGCTTTAGTGCTTTTTGTGAGTAACAGAGATGTAACATATGGCCCAGTCCCAGTTTTCAGGACCATTCCAAAAAACTGTTTCTAGCCCCTCTGAGCCATCAAATGCTAACTTCCCATTTGTTGACCGCACAAACAGCAAACCTGGGTGTCAGGGAAGATTCCCTCACCCAGGGCTCCACGGAGAGTCTGACACCTTGGCCAGGGCCTCAGAATGTAACTCACCAGCATTTCTTTCTTTTTTTTAAAGCTCTCTCTTTTTTTTAAAATTAATTAATTAATTAATTTTTGGCTGCATTGGGTCTTTGTTGCTGCGCATGGACATTCTCTAGTTGCAGCGAGCGGGGGCTACTCTTCGTTGCTGTGCGCAGGCTTCTCATTGCAGTAGCTTCTCTTCTTGCGGAGCAGGGGCTCTAGGCGCACAGGCTTCAGTAGTTGTGGCATGTGGGCTCAGTAGTTGTGGCTCGCAGGCTTCAGAGTACAGGCTCAGTAGCTGTGGCGCACGGGCTTAGTTGCTCCGCGGCATGTGGGATCTTCCTGGGCCAGGGCTCAAACCTGTGTCCCCTGCATTGGTAGGCGGATTCTTAACCACTGTGCCACCAGGGAAGTCCGCTCACCAGCATTTCTGATGCCTGTAGCAAGTCTAGAATTAAACTCTCCGTGAGGAACCATTTTTTTGGTGTCTGGCACAGTAGGGCACTTGATAACTGTGGGTGAAGGATTTGGTCCTGGGTGCTTCTGGCCAGGTTCTCCTGTCTTCTTCCCACCTCTGCAGATTTTTGTTTTTCCCCCAGAAAATTGCTATTGGCTTACAATGGAACGCCAAAAAATTCAGAAGAGGGTGGCCTGATGATTCATTATTGACAACAGTTAAAAAAAATTAGTCAATGGCTTCTCTCCACTTTATGGGGGCCAAAGGAAGCAGTAATCAATTATTCTAACCCTCTTCATCAACCTTTGACCTTCATATACTTTTTATTCATCTGTTCGGTTTCCTTTGTTCCTTTTTAATGTAAATTACGGTTTTTGCTCATAACATATTTTTTTATTCTGTGTTTTGCACTCTCCTTTGTTCCATCTCCTAACCACACCCTCCACATCCCAGAGAAGACGCTCTGGTGAAGAGCTCTTTGACAGCTGGTGCCAACCCCAGAGGACTCCAGGTTATAGGAGGTGCACAGGGTGGTCAGGGCAGCGCTTCTAGGACCTCACACCCCTCTGGGAGCATCTCCGGTTACTTCCATTCTTGGGGCATCCGATAAGCTAGAGGCGGCTTCTCTTGGACTTAGATTCGTTCCAACGGTTGCCCACTTCGGCGAGGGCTTTTCAAGGTCTCCAGCTGAGAGCGCTGAAGGGAAGAGGGGTGTCCTGATGCCGTGGGGCTTCGGGTGGGATCCAAGGCTCCCAGGTGGGACACGCTGGCTTCAGGACCCCGCTGCGGACGCAGCCAGCTAGATGCCGGGGCAGGTGACCTTCTCTGGCC